TCTCGAGGTGACCGCGTCAATGTGCTTTATAAAGCTAAGCTTTTGGTTACCTAACAAACAAAGTTTGCGGAAAAGTAATACCTAACAAACAAAGTTTGCGGAAAAGTCATGGAGTATTTTAGTGATTTTTCAGAACTGCCCGAAATCTAAAATGCTAAGAAATCGCTGAAAAAACTAGGCTGAAAATAATGTTTATGTAATTGATAGAAAATGAAACACATCGGTTAACCGATAATTATTTGATGAGTGCAAAATGTTATGAATATTTATTGAATGTATTTTGCTGATTCAACAAATCATCTTTTTCATTCAAATGTAAATGAAACTTGTAGCAATTTATAAATTGATATTATTACGCTTCGATTCCAATAAATAATCTTCGTCGTAATCGTCTTCTTGTTCTTCGGCAGTGGCAAAAATTCCTTTATACCATCGCTGTTTGGTGACCGTATCAGCTTGTTTACATTCTTTATGATCAGAGCAGATAAAAAAAGTCGCGCTAAAATTGATTTTAGGTTCCTAAAAAGGCTCGTAAAAAGGGCAAAATAGGCACGTAAATAGTCTCAATGAAAAAACTAAAAATCACCAAAAAATGACGGACCATGAAGTTAATTTTATTATTTTCTACCGTTGCAAAGAACAATGACATGTTGTTTCACGTTTTCAAAAAGAAAACTTCTGCGTTTAAGAGTTAAAACATTTTTATAATCGGAAAACGATCTTTCAACGTCTGCAGAAGACAATGGGGCATACGCGAACAGTGCAAGTTCATGTGAAGTGAGATTATGTACGTATTCGTTAGTTGGTTGCATGTTCCTATTCAAAATATTATTGATGTCACATATTGGTATGAAACCACGATTCCGTTTCAAAACTGCTTCGAATTTACGAGTGAATTCTTGTCGCGACAACGAACGTAGTTCGTTTCGAATAGATGTAACGATTTCAATACTTTCAGACAAAGCAAGTCCTTGTGTTTCAAGTTTGACGGTTGCAGCTATCAGTGATGCGAAATTGGTTTTGATGTACGCCAAATCAGCTTCCACATCCCCATTGTTGAACGCTTGTTGTGCTAAACCAATTGATTCTGCGTCTGCTATATCAAAAGTATCGATTACAGATTTGACTTCGGAAAAATGATCGCAATAGTAAATAGCCGCATTCAGCCATGTACCCCAACGTGTAATAACAGGTTCTGGTGGTAGAGCCAGTCCTGCATTCATTTGTTGAAACTTCATTCGACGAGATGGAGCCTAATGAAACCACAATTGTTTTAGTTTTTTTTTTTCAAATAATTTTTAGATCGAGTCAACCATACCTTCAAAAATACTGCTTTTGTTTTTGAGATCAATTGGTTAACGTTTGAGAATTTGTCACGAATGAACTCGGCGACACGATGCAATCCATGCGAAAGACAAGTCACATGCAACATTTTTGAATATAATATTTGCAAGCCCTTCATAGCTGCGAGCATATAGCTGGCTGAATCGGTTAACGCAAGGAGCACTTTGTTGTATTGAATACCTATTTAAAATGACGAACAAATTATTTTCACACAATAAATATGCATACACGATTATTATACTAGCCTTTTGGCCATAGCAACAACAAAGAATCATTGAAAAATGCTGCCATGGTATTTGCGTTCGTTGAATCAACCACTGCCATATTCATCAAGTAACATTTGCCTCGTTCAGGACTATTTTTGCAGTCATCCAATATACCGAAAATGAAATTCACTACCATTCGACCTTCACTATCGGTGCTCTCGTCAATGGATGCCCAAATGTACTTGTTTTCCGCTTTCAATTGCATATTCTGCATCGTTTCGTTATACAAAACGGGAACATATTTTTGACGAATTGTCCATATTGAATGGGTTGAGTTGTTGGGGGCGTTGATGTTCGGCCAGTAGAGTTTGTTTTAGTGCTCCAAATTGACTCTTCCTTTTTGCAGACTTTTGGTGTTTATCCGTCCCAATATGTTGTTTCACATGTGAACTTTTAGTCGCAGTCAGCGCACAATCACAAGAAAGACAAAACAAAATCTTGTTATCGGTACGAAATATGCCGGGATATTCACTGATTATGCGCGTACAAAATTCAGCAATACTTTCTTTCGGTTTTCCCATGGTTTCGTCTGACAGTATGCAAACCACGCGCCATGTAATTTGAACGTAATGAATATCGAATACGAACTGAATCCAATGGATATGCGATGAAATTCTGTACACAAACGATGATTGACTGACCGGCTCAGCTGAGCGTTGCTATACATACAACAATACTTGTCACAGCGTTTGCATACACACACAGTGCACACTAATGCTGTGATGCTCCGTTAGGTTTTGTTTACATTTATACTTCTTGTAAACAATTATTGTCGATTGTTCTGAATGTTTTTTTTGTTTACATTGAAATCATCAATATAATATTTAATCGTTATTTTGACTCTTGACTTCTTGAAACTCATTGTTTTCAAATTATTGTCATGAATTCTTTAAATGTTCTTCTTTTTGAAATGAAAATTTCAGCTAAAATAACTAAAAAAAGTCGCGTACGGCTCAAATCGCAGAAAAAGTCTCGAAGCATCCAAAAAAGGCAAAAAAGGCAAATACCTAGGTTTTAGGTCCGCGACTATTTTTATCTGCTCTGTTTATGATAAGACGTCGCAAAGTGATCAGCAACATTTTTCGCTCGATAGCGCGTGCCAGATTCCAATGTAATAGCTGGTGGTTTGTTATTTGCACACATGCGTCGAACAATAGCAGGAAATTTCACACAAACTTTGCAATGGATATTACGCTGAACACCACTTGTTATTTGAACTTGA